TTCTATGGTCTCAATCTCTTGACCTTGTGATCCGCCTGCCTCGGCCTCCCAAAGTGCTGGGATGAACCACCGTGCCCGGCCCCATAGTGGGTCATATCTATGGAGTGCTTTCCATATGCCAGGCGCAGTTCTAAGCCCTTTATGTTCCTGATCTCATTTAATGCTTATGGCAACCCTATGAGATAGAAGACATCATTCTCTGATTTTAGAGGGGAGGAAGCAGTAACACAGAGTGGTTAGGTAAGCTTCCCAACGTCATGCAGCTGGTACATGGTGGCAGTCCACCCTTTTTTATACCTGCTGTTCATGTGAAGTACCACCCCACTCCACCCTCTCTCCAGGCAGAGCCTCGTCTTAGTCTCAGGCCCCCCACACACCTTGGTATAGTGATGAATGAGGGCCGCGCTGCTCATGCGGCCACGATAGTAGCAAGGGGTCACCACCATGGCTGCGTCAGCCCCGACCTGGGCCATGCTGACAGTCATCTCCACTGTGGCTTGAGTGGCTGCCAGAGGAAGGAGGGAGGTGAGAGCAGGAAGAAGGAGGCCTGGACCAGGACACTGGGCCAAGTGAGGGTGCCTCAGCATGTCCCAGAAGAGACAGGACCCAAGCTAGGGCTAAGGAGCCTGGAGCCTACACACCCAGCCACCCCCAGGGCCCAAGGCATTCTGGCTCACACTCGCATCCGGAGCCAGCTAGCAGGAGCCTGTCCTTGGGCATGGTCTGGCGCACACGGCTCACCACCTCCAGGCGCTCACTGCTGGTCAGGAAGGGAAACTCGCCATTGGAGCCCTGGACCACGAAGCCTGCAAGAGAGGCCCCATCACAGCTAACCAACTCCCTTCCCAAGGCCAAGACGTTGATGTTCCTACCTTCCAACACCATCATCTTTCACACATTTCCTTCCCATCTTTGCACAGCTGCAATGACAGCGTTCACATCATTTTTCTTTTTTGAAGACAGGATCTCGCTCTGTTGCTCAGACTGGGATGCAGTGGCTCAATCACAGCTTGCCGCAGCTTCGACCTCTTGGGCTCAAGTAATCTTTATACAATATGATTATTGCAAATGTAAGCCTTGTAGAAATAGAATTAAGCTTAAGTAGCGTTCTGCAATTTGCTGTTTGCTTAATACTATGTTTTGAGTTTTGTCTATAGCAGCACACATAGCCCTGATTCATTCATTTTACTTGCTGTATAGTATTCTGTTGTATGGTTAGATCACAATTTACTTTTCATTCTCTTGTTGAGAGAATTTAGAACGCTTCCTTCTTTTTGGTTGGGCCTGGTGGCTCACACCTGTAATTTCAGCACTTTAGGAGGCCAAGGCAGGGAGATTGCTTGAGCCCAGGAGTTCAAAACCAGCCTGGGCAGCATGGCAAAACCCTGTCTCTACCAAAGAAGAAGAAAAAAGAGTGTTTTCTTCTTTTTGCTATTGCAAACAATGCTGAAACAAACATTTTCTGTAAAGTCTTCTCTGCATATGTCTCAGAGTTCCTCTAGAGTTCAGATACTTTGGTGTGTAATTGCTAAGTCATAGCTACGTGTACCTTCATGTGTGCCACATTTTTTATATATTTACTTTTTCTTTGAGGCAGGGTCTCACTCTGTCACCCAGCCTGGAGTGCAGTGGCACAATCACAGCTCACTGCAGCCTTGACCTTCTGGGTTCAAGTGATCCTCGTGTCTTAGCCTCCTGAGTAGCTGGGATTACAGGTGTGAGCTGCTATGCCCAACTAATTGGTGTAGTGTGTGTGTGTGTGTGTGTGTGTGTGTGTGTGTCTGTAGACAGGGTTTCACCATTTTGCCCAAGCTGGCTTGAATTCCTGGGCCCAAGTGATCCTCCCACCTGAGCCTCCCAAAGTGCTGGGATTACAGTTGTGAGCCACCACGACTGACTGTGTGCCAATTTCTGATCAGTCAGTGTGACCTCAGAAGCAGCATAGAATGTCGTACATGCCAAATCGTGGTATTGTCAGAACTAATTTTTTGCCAACTTTCTGGGTGAAAAATGAATCTCGTTGCTTTATTTTGCATTTTCCTGTTTTTATCAATCATTTACCTGGGATGTGTCTAACCAATAACCTGTACCAGTTACAGGTGAGCCACGGTGCCCAGCCCACTTTCTCTTTCTTCTTCTTTTTCCTCTCCATCCCATTCCATTAAAGAAAAAAAAAGAAGTCATTTACAAATACGGAGTATAATGCAACCAGATTCTTAATTAATAGAAGGATATTTGGGCCTGTAATCTCAGCACTTCAGGAGGCCAAGGTGGGAGGATCACTTGAGGCCAGGAGTTTGAGGCCAGCCTGGGTAACAAAGTGAGACCCTGACTCTACAAAAAAATTAAAAAATAAATCAGGAGCATTTGAAGCTGCAGTGAACTATGATTGTGCCACTGCACTCCACCCTGGGTAACAGAGCAAGACCCTGTCTCAACAAAAAAAAAATTGGAGGCTATTTGGGATAATGAAATGAAAATAAAGCCACGAGCAGCATTGGTATACAAAGTTCCTGCCATATAGTTGTGAGAAATGAGCCAGAAATTTGATGTGGAGTTTCCCGACAGCCAGAGCTAAAAGGGAAACGTGGTCAGCTAAAAGATATGTAGAAGATAAAAGCAAAGCAACTGCCCCGGAGAAACACAGAGTTTCCTGGCACCGGGACCAAGAGAAATTGTTCCTGTGAGTCATCCTTCAGGGGACACTGTGTGATGTAGACTCCACTTCATTCCACCAAACTTTTTCCATGCTGTTCACTGCACCATCAAATTCCAGAGTGAGTTGCCAGGATATCAGGATCTCTCTCATTGGATATTAGCTGCTTTTGTTAAATATAGTTATTTTGCATTGGTAACATTGCAGGGAACATCTGCAGGCACACAGCTTCTCACTCCTGTGGGATTGCTTCTGGAGGACTGATTCCTCTGTGTCAGGCTAGCAGCCCAAGGTACAGCCTCCTTGTGTCTTGCTACATGGGGCTGCAGTGCTCTCCGTAAAAGCTGCCAGCCCTGGATGATGAGGACTCCAAACTAGCTACAACTGGACGAGCACTCTCTGACTAAAGATTCAGAGATCAAGCTCTTGCCACTCTCTGTTCCAATGCCAAAGTCATCTTCCTCCCCACCCCTGCCTACCGTCCTGGGCAGGGGCGGGTTCTTGTTGCGGCCACTGATTCAGCCACCATCACTCCCTCCCTTCACCTCTCATCCTACTGGTCAGTTCCAGACAGGTGGGCCTGGTCTAAACAGGAGGACAGCTGGGGCTTGCACTCTAGGAGTCAGAAGCAGGTCCGGTGCTCAAGGCTCCCGTGACACAGCCCTCTCTTCCATTTCATTGAAGGGGGAAACTGACCCATGCCTGACTCCCAAGAAGGAAGAAGTGCCAGGCTGGAGAAGAGGGGGTGTGTTGTAGTCGGGGCACACTAGACGCGAGAGTCACCTCTGGCCATTAAGCAAGTCACACATCTTTGCGTCTCTGTTTCCTTTTCTATGGGATGACAGTGAAAGCATTTCAATCCTACCTTATAGGGCTGTTTTAAAGGCTTAGATAAAAAAAAGTCCCAGAAAGCATGCTGAAACCTGTGAGTAGGTACCCCAAAGATTCGCTCCTTCACAATGGCTAGATGTCCAGGTATGAGATTGATGTGTCCCTGTTAGTGTAGAGAGGGGACCAGAGAAGAGGAAAAGGCCAGGATCTCCAGTGAACGGGGGACTGGGGAAAATGAATGGCAGAAAAGCAGAGGGCTCAGAGGAGAGGGGCCAGATGCATAGGCCCTGAAGTCAGAGAAGCCCAGGCTACTCAGCTGAAAAATGGAGATAATATTAGTGCCTTTATCAGAGGCTTTTTTTTTATTTTGAGACGGAGTCTCACTCTGTTGCCCAGGCTGGAGGGCAGTGGTGCGACCATGGCACTGTAACCTCTACCTCCCAGGTTCAAGCGATTCTCCTGCCTCAGCCTACCAGCTAGCTGGAACTACAAGCAACCTACCACACCTAGCTAATGTTTGTGCTTTTAGTAGAGACAGGGTTTCACCATGTTGGCCAGGCTGGTCTCAAACTCCTGGCCTCAGGTAATCCACCCGCCTTGACCTCCCAAATTGCTGGGGATTACAGGTGTGAGCCGCCATGCCCAGCCTCTCAGACTTGTTCTGAAGTTTAAATGAGATATTATTTGTAAAATACTTTGAAAAGAACCTGGTGCTCAATAAGTGTTAGCTGTCTTACGGAGTCAGGAGAAAGTGCTCAAACCTTAAATCAGGAGGGAGGCCAGTGTCAAGGAGGAGGCTGCTCTCTGTGACCTCTCATTGTACACCCACTGTGATACGAGGAGTGAGTGTACACGGCCCCCTCCAGCTGTAAGACAAAGGAAGATACTCTCCCCTGGCCCCATGGTTACACTTGCTGCTCTGGGAGCTGGGGTGGCAAGGAGGAGAGTGGACGTTTGGGGCTAGGGACACATAACAACTTGGTGACTTACTGGGGCTAAAAGGAATCACATAAGGAGTGTCCCCATTCATTATTATGCCTTCTTGGTCCATCATCATTGCCACCTCCTCAGAGAAGTCTTCCTGGGATCTCTCCACTGGGCCTCTCTACTCTTCATTTCCATTACCTGTTCCTTGTATAATATTTCCCTGTGAACAGCACCCATCTACAAAGGTCCCCAGAACTCGTCAATCTCCCATCCCTGCCACTGCCTGTGGGATTTGACACAATTTCTCAATCTGATCTCTCCTATAGAATCAGAAATTGGGCTGAGCGCAGTGGCTCACACCTGTACTCCCAGGCCTTTCGGAGGCCGAGATGGGCATACTACTTGAGNCTCAGCCTCCCAAAGTGCTGGGATTCTAGACATGAGCTACCATGCCCAGCCTGATCATTCTCTTTTTAATAAAAATGTCCTTACCAAGAGTATATATTTGAGTTAGCTGCTTACAGGTCATTTTGCCTGCAGCACAACTGTAATCAAACTTTGACATGCACTCGTGATCAAATTATCTGAAAACTTTTTTTAACTCAAAATATTGAATTACTTTTAGACTTACAGAAGAGTTTCAAAAGTAGTATAGGGATTTTTTATACATCCTTCACCCAGCCTCCACCAATGATAATGTCTTACCTACCTACAATATGATGACCAGAACCAAAGAATTAACATTGGTACAATGCCATTAACTACGGACTTTATTTGAATTTTGCCAGTTTGAGTCTGAGGCTGTAGTGAACTATGATATCACCACTGTTCTCCAGCCTGGGCAACATGGAGAAACCAAAAAAAAAAAAAAAAAAAAAAAATCAAAAATTAGACTGGACACAGTGGCTCACGCCCGTAATCCCAACACTTTGGGAGGCAGAGGCAGGCAAATCACAAGGTCAGGAGTTCAAGACCAGCCTGGCCAACATGGTGAAACCCCACCTCTACTAAAAATACAAAAAATTAGCTGGGTGTGGTGGTGGGTGCCTGTAATCTCAGCATTTTGGGAGGTTGAGGCAGGCAGATCACTTGAGGTCAGAAGTTCGAGACCAGCCTGGCCAATGTGGTGAAACCCCATCTCTACTAAAAATACACAGATTAGCTGGATGTGGTGGTACACACTTGTAATCCCAGCTACTCAGAAGGCTGAGGCAGGAGAATCGCTTGAACCTGGGAGGCAGAGGTTTCAGTGAGCCGAGATAGCGCCACTGCACTTCAGCCTCGGTGACAAGATCAGTCTCAAAACAAACAAACAAAAAAAAACCAAGCTGACTACTTGTGCTGTTCCCTTCCACCTGGAATACCTCCCAGATGCCTCGAGGGCCAACAAGC